ATTTAAATTTTAAATTAAATAAAAAAATATAATTTAAAATTAAAATTTTACTTTTTAAAAAAGATCAAAATTAATATGCATTTTACTTAAAAAAATTAATATACAATTTTTCCATACATTAAATTAAAAATATAGATAATTACATTCCCAGAGATCACCTGGTGGATCTTCTCCAACACGTCATCGTAATTAATCATTACGGTAAATACCATTTCAATTAAACATAATGCTTTGGTAGAGCATCAGCCATTCCTAAATACGTTACTGACAACCATCCGTTAACATGATCAATTATGGCTGCACTAACTTAGTCGTTAAGTCTCTCTACCCCCTAAATCCCCTACCTAAACACACAGGTTTAATCACATAATCTTCTCCCAGTTATGCACTTCACCGGATCTCCCCGTCCCTCCGTCCGTCCTGGCCTTTTCTTTCTTTTACCAAAATATCCTCCCACTTAATCACTTTGACCATTAAATCTCTATAATTAAAAGGTTAATACAGTAATTACACTGCTTTCAAGACCAAGACTCCTTCGTCTGGTAAACGACACTTTCTGGAACCTATATATATCCCCAAAGGACACACATCCTCACAAAGTCTTGAATTCCCCAAGACAGTCCCTTCAATTTTCCAAATTTTCAATCTAGTCCTCTGAAGTGAGCTATGGCCGAAGTGGAGGTGACCATCTCTTCCGCCAAGGATCTCAAGAACGTCAACTGGCGTTACGGTCTGACGAGGCCATATGCCGTCGTTTGGGTTGATCCCAAGAATAAGTCCAGCAGCAAGGTCGACGAAGAAGGGGACATTTTCCCCTACTGGGATGAGACCCTGATCATCCCCTTGCCGGGGCCGATCGACGACGGCACCACTCTCTACATCGACATCGTCCACGCCGGCAGTGAGGAGGACACCAAGAAGCTTATCGGCTCCGCCAGGCTCAGGCTGAAGGAAGTCCTTAACGACTCCGGATACGGCGAGCGAGCCAAGCGGACTCTGCAATTGAAGCGCCCCTCCGGTCGGCCCCATGGGAAAATCGATGTTAAGGTTTTGATCAGAGAGCCTCGCTACCGTTCCCGTGATGCGTACTACGCAGCTCCCTATGGAGTCCCCCCACCTTCTGCTTCTAGGGACTACGCTGCTCCGCCACCTTACGGCGATCCATACGGCTCAGCTCCACCGCCACCAGCAAACCCCTACTACCAGGCACCCCCACCGTCTGGTTACCCGTATGGGCAGCCTCAGTACGGTGCGCAGCCATATGGGCAACCTCAGTACGGTGCGCAGCCATATGGGCAACCTCAGTACGGTGCGCAGCCATATGGGCAACCTCAGTACGGTGAAGGATCGGCAGGGTACTATGCACCGGAGGAGAAGAAGAAGAGCAAGTTTGGAGGGATGGGAACGGGATTGGCTGTGGGTGCGGTGGCAGGAGCGTTGGGTGGGCTGGCGTTAGCGGAAGGGTTTGACGCTTTGGAGGATAAGATAACTGACGACGCCGCGGATAAGGTCGAGGATGATCTTGGATACGACGAGGAAGACTATTAGATCGTCCTGAAGATAAAAAGCACCCTGTTTGGGCGCAAATCCTGCCTGCGAGTTGGCCTGGGGGACTCATTCTGTTCTCTGTCTGTCTGTGTTTTTTTTTTTTAATATATATTTACTGGTTGATGTTGATTTTCAAACTTTTTTTTTTTTTATTAAATGGCCCAAACATGGAGCTTTGAAACTGAAATTACAATTGCGTGCTTAACGTGGTTTGTTTTAACATTGACAATTTTTTTATTTTTTTTATACATCGAAGACTTAATTGATTGGTATGAGTGTAGGCTTAAATCATGTCTTAGATCTTAAATTAAAGATTTTTATTGACTGAGCATTGTTTAAACATTGGCATTGGTACAGGAAGAGTTTAGATTGCGTTTGATAATTTCCAACAAGAATAGTTATTTCTATGATGTGGTTTTCAATTTTAGGTTATTAAAAAAATTAAATGTTAATTTTATTTAATAAAAATATATAAATATGTTCAACTTATATTGTATGTGATTTAGATTTTAAAAAAAAAAACTATTTTTGAATTTCTTATTGATTTGATAAAAAATGGTTAGAGAATGGAGCTGGATCAAAGCTAAAAAGATAGGCTCATTTTTCTTCTTTCGAATGGTGTGCCCTGTGTAATAGCCTGTACAGGAAAATTATGCTGCAACAGGGGACGGTGTTTTTGGTTTTCGGTATGCAACAGGGAAGGTTTTGAATACCAATATGAGAGAATGATGACAAGTAGGACGGACTGCAGCATTTTTGGTTTCTCTCTGATTGCGCAAGATTAAAAATATGAATTGACTTTTTGCTTATTTTTATCTCAAAATGCAAGGGTTTTTTTTACTTACAATTAAAACATTTTTAATTTTTATGTATTCTAAAATTATTTTTTTTAAATGGTTTTAAAGAAATACTTTTATATTGATTTGATTTATTTAAAAAAATTAATTTTTTAAATACTATCTTAAAATTTAAACTCTAAATCTAAATGATAATTAGTTATTAGTAAATTTAACATTTGAAATTTACGGCTTTAAATTTGTTAATGATCTAATTTGATTGCCTTTTTTTTATTTGGCCATCTGATTACTAGGTTCAGAGTCAAAATCTTGTGACCATATGGTGGCATTTCCACAACAAAAATTTTTTAGTTTGGAATTGTTCGGGGGAAATCTCACGTCAAAAAATTAATAGAGAAGCATATGACTGGAATATTAAATAGATAATTTATTATTATTAATTAATTTTAAATTATATATTTATTTTATATTTAGATCAGTTGTCAAATTTTCAAAAAAGAAAAAAAAATCGATGATTGATAATTTAGGACTCCTCAAAAATCAAGAAGGATGCATTATAATGATGACATTTGGATTGAAAGAGAAAAGAAGAGTTAGGTTCTCTTATGTGTGTGGGTCTATTACCACAATTTAAAAAGGATAAAAACAACTGGTGATGCTTTGGACAAACATTATTGGGACGACCTTTAATTTGTCATAACCCAATATGCCTTTCTTGATACGTTAATTTGTATTATTGTCAAATAAAAAAAGGAAAAAGAGAAAAAGAGAATTATGCTTTGTAGCATCGGACAATAAAATATAAATTATTAAACGAAAAAATATCTTAAGATTAAAAATTTATTTTTTATTTAATAATTTGAGTTATATAATTTAATATAATTTAAATTATATGATAATTTTATTTTATTTTTTTAAAAAAAAAAAGTAAGAGAGGAGCACCTTATACCTTGCTGGGAATCCTCCTTTTTTCCATTTGCAAGGGAAGAATTATGCTCTTGAATCTGTCTGGTAGCTTGTCAAGTCGTATCAAGGCATTTCCACATGGTTGGCACGCCTGCACAATCAACGCTTTGCAGTAGTGTTAAAAAAATCAGAATATATGCATGATGGTGATCTTTTTCTGTAAGTAATAATAATAAAAAAGATGAGGTTGGCAAATGATGTTTGCAAAGGCGAGCTTCCACGGCTACAGTTAGCCAATTAGAGGAACAAGAGTCACTTTCACTTAGATCAGAAGCGCGCGGAAAGGTGTCCCCAACATATCGCATTTTAACGTTGAAAGACTAAGTGAGTATATGGTGTGGTGGAAGTTTTAAATAAAAATTTTGTTAAAAGTGAATTATTATAAAAATATTATTTTTATAAATAAATAATAAATAAAATATAAATAATGTGTTAATTTTATTAAAATATAAATGAAAAATTCTTACAGAAGTATAAATTTGATATTTTTGAGATTTGTAATGAAATTAATAAAATATTATTTTGTGAGAAATTAATAAAATATTATTTTGTGAGAAATTATAGTATTTTTTTATAAATTATAGTATTTA